AATCAAGGAAATTAAAGATTTTACTCAATTAAAGAGGCAAAACACCATGCATTAGGAAGAACCCTTACCTCAAATTGAAGATGAAAAATCTCCAATTTATGCCCTAATTTCAAAAATCCTAGGATGCACCAAAAATTAAAATTGCTTACACCCACTTGAAGATCTTGCCGAGCTCTTCGATTTGCCGCAAACAGCACCCAAAAATTCTCACTGGTTGAAGAATAATCAAACTTTGAAGTCTTGAAGCAAAGTGAAAAGAAAAATGAAATGAAAAAAGGGGAAAAAAGATGGTGCCGGGGAGAAAGAATGACGGAGAGAAAATGAGACTAAATGTAGTCTCTTGACAATAAAATGTGTAAGTGGTAAGTCCCACCACCAAAAATTCCACTTTTTGACTTTTCTTTTCTTTTTCCCACCCCCCTCCCCCAACACACTATCTATACACCACGACATATAACACATAAAATAAAATAAATAAAATGCAAATGGAACCAACCAACACCCCCATACGTGACAATTCCGGTGGCGGGTCCCACACGGGACCGTCTGGCCCGAAAAACAGAAAAATGCTGAAATGGCAACTCTTTCATTTTCAAGAGTCCTGAAGTCAGTGGAATGCCCCCCAACCAACTCTCAAACACATCTGGCACACCCCACGGTGTCAGGCACGTAAAACGAGAAAAAGACGAAGATACCCCCGAAAGTCAGAAAATTCTAAAAATTGGAAAATGACAAAATTCAAGAACATTACATAAGTACTTTGTGGGTAACTCAGTTGTCCAAAAAGAATAAATAGGTATATAGTGGACTTTATGGAGTTGGGATTAACTTTTGGTATAGCTATTGGATAACAGACTTTTGGTATAGCTTTTAGACAACTGACTTTTGATATAGCTTTTGAACAACTCAATGTAATACTCTGAATTTTATTGCTAAATGATATGGTATATTTTTTGGCTAACTTTGTTTGTATGGTATGTTTTGTGGACAATTGATTATTTGTATAGGTTCATATAGGTCATATTTATAAGTTGTTTGTCATATATGTCTGAATTATTTGTCAATGCAGTTTGTCAATGCAGAGTTTGTCAATGCAGTTTGTCAATACAAGTAATATAGTAGTGAAGGCCATGCTATTACCATCATTCATTAAGAACTTACTGAAGGCATACCACCTTCAATATACAACTGAGAAAAATAATACAACTTCAACATATTAATGTAATCACAACTGAGAAAAATGAAAGAAATAAACTTGCATTGATAAGCAGCTTCATGAATCCAAGGGATTTTTCAAACATTGCAAATTGAGACCTTATCTCACCAATTTCACAGATTGTCTCACCAATATCAGACCTTAGTACACCAATTTCAGACCTTATCTCACAAATTTCAGACCTTAACTTACCAATCTCATAACTTATTTAGCAACATGTATCATAATCTTAGCAAATACATCTTTTTGGTTACATGTTGTAGCAGAGTCCACCACATCGTCTGTAATGCAACTTATTGGATTGCATCATTCCCAAACACCATAACTTCTAGTTGGACAAACATAATACAACTTCCCCTTATTGTTATAATCGTTAGAACATGTGACCTTAATTACACATTTTGTTTTTTTATTTACATTTGCAATACAGAACCCTGTACCTTAAATCACATAAGCCTGAAGCTTTTCCCTTTGAACTTGTAGACATGTTTTAAAAAACGAAAATTTAGATATTTGAAGAACAAATCGCAACCCACAAAAATGAAATTTTCAGATTTTTGAAGAACAAATTGAAAATCCAGATATTTGTTTTGAAGATGAACAAATCGTAACTTATAACATAGCCTTTAATTTGTAGATGAACAAAACTTACCCAAATGGAGTCCTAAGTTACAAACATAAGAACAATATTCTTCTTCATCGTTTTTCTTCAAAGTACAGAACAATGTTCTTCTTCTTTTTCCTCTCCAAAGCTCCCAACACTTGATTTGCACAACACAACCAATATGGAGTAGCTTCTCACAACGGCAGCAGCTTCGTCTTCTTCTTCTCTTCAGCCCTAATGAACCGTTCTGTCTCACAACGGTTATATATGTCTTATATATATATATATATATATATATACATTTAAATATAATATGAAATAATATAGGTAAGGGTATTTTCGGTATTTCATGAAAAATAGTAGCTGATGTCATCATTTTCTGTCGTTGACTGCTGTTGACTTTAACAGAAGGTCCGTGTAGGATATTTTTAAAAGTAGGGAGGTCCGCGTAATTTTCGAAACAGTAAGGGTAGTCCCTGTAATTAGGGCAAATCATAGGAGAGGTCTGTGTAAATTACCTTTTTAGTTGTGACTCATCTTTGGAACAAAGTTATTCATAAACATACAAAAAGACCAGCCTCATTATACTCCATTTATGATGATTTTGAGAATGTTTAATAGGATTTGGGCAGGTTAGGGTGAGGTTTATAAAAATTTGTGTTGGTTAAGAGTAATTTAACCTGAAACTAATTTAAATTTAAATAATATAGGTAGTTTTGCACATTTTGTATATAAAGGGGATTTTTTTTGCACTTAACCCTAGGGCTGCAAATGAGCCGAGCCGAGCCGATCTTTAGGCTGTTCGGGCTCGACTCATTTGTTTATGGGATCAGCTCGGGCTCGGGCTCGGCTCGTGACGAGCTTAAAAATTTGAGCTCGGGCTCGGGCTCGTCTTGATTTTAAAAGCTCAGGCTCGGCTCGTTTAACAAAAAAATTAAATTAAAATTCAAAATTAATTAGTATTCTACAGGGCACATACACAATATCATGCAAAATAACACAACAATAACAACAAATTGCTATATTTGTGTCATTACAATATTCATTGTGTTTGCCAGAGAGGTCTCAAGAAACTTACAGAGTACAAACTAGAAACAAGTTATAAAAATAGGAAAAAATTATCCATATATAATATAATAACAAGAAATCATTGCGAATTCGGGAAGTAAAAAATTTAATCAATAAATTAGGAAAAAATTCTCTCTCACAGTTCGCACTTGGAGGGTGAAAAATTGAAATAGATATTCTTCCACTAATCTGTAAAGAACTAATTCATGAGACAGAACGGAATGGTTGAATCCACACCCGAAAAAAATAAAGAATAATAAAATAAATAAATTAGGATTTCTTACCAAAGGCAAAGATTCAGCCTCAATTTCCTCTGATGTCTGAAACACCAAGAGATTAGCTTCTTTGATCTGTTCCAAAATTTGCAGTAACTTATCTTACGGCAGTCTAGATCAAGACAAGATTGTCAACCTTCAGGCAAGGTAACCGGTTAGCCCCAAAGGACTTTTGAAGAAGAGGCCTCACAATTCGCTCACTCCAGAGTCCAGATTACGGAACTGAGGAACTGAAGAACAGGCCTCACAAGTCACAATAAATCGTCTTCGTTGGAAAATGAATAAGGGAAGATGCCAGATGGAGATAAAATTAACCCGGTCAAGAGATTCGTGAGATTTCCCAACAGTAACAGATAAGATTTGAGATTTCAAAGAGATAAAGTAAGTTTTGATTAATTGACAGGTGTGCAATAGTTTATAATTTAATCTATTTTCTTTTGGGTACTTATGCTATAAATTATAATAAAATCATATATATATATATATATATATAATATAATATATATTACGTATATAAATATAACGAGCCTTATACGAGCTTTGTTCACGAATATTAACGAGCCTAAACGAGCTCATGTTCACGAGCCTAAGCGAGCCGAGCCCAGCGTTGCTCAAGCTCGGCTCGTTTACTAAACGAGCCTAAATATTGGGCTCGAGCTCGGCTCGTTTGCTTAATGAACGAGTTCGAGCCGAGCCCGAGCTGTTCATGAACAGCTCGGCTCATTTGCAACCCTACTTAACCCATTTGTTTGCTATATGGGTAACCGAATTAACTAGACTTTTTAACTCGAAATCAAGTTTAAAAATATAACGATGGGTTGGTTCGAGATAGAGTGATTATGATTTAAACATTTCATATGTTGAATCAGGCTTCAACTGTAACACCAATCTACTAGAACTAAAATAATTCGTCAGTCCGTTAAACTGAACCGATCCGATCCGATTTGTGCGGTTCGGTTTGGTTTTCTAGTGTCATGATTCGGTGATGGATTGAAAATTAGTAATCCGTAGTGAACGGATCGGTTAACGGATTAGGTGCTAAAAAAATGAACCAATCCATAAACTGATCATTGGCCAATCCATAGAACTAATATACATATATTATACAACATGTATAATACAGCATATGCAGAATACATTATTAATGTTTTTATTTTCTTTATAAAAATAAATTAATATTTATATATATATATTATTTAATTTATTTATATGGAGATAGAGATGGGAGATGAGAGGGATATCCTTACTAAATGAGTTTGGAAGGTCAAGGGAGGGGGGAATTCTCTCCAAACCCGTCCTGTTGTCATTTATAATTCGATCCGAGTAAAATAGAATATAGATTGGGACATTCAGTTCGAGAATTTGTTACTGATTTGAATCCGATAATCTGTTTGCTTAACAAATGTGATATGGATTTGTTCCGATCCGAATCTGAATCCGAATCCGATTTGTTGACTGGTCTAGTTGTATGGTGTGGTGATACAAAGAGAGTAGGGAGGGGGTGGTAGTGGGAGTAATAGTGGTGATGATGGCGGTAGATCCGAGAGTTGTATAGAGATGGGTATTTTGGATCAAAATAATATATTTATAATATTAAAAATTAATTTTGTTTAATAACTCTTTCACCCATTTATTATTTAGATACGATGATATTAATAACGGATAAGTTGTCATTTTTTTGGATAAACATGTGGATGAGACAATTTCTTCTACATATATATTTTTACTTGTACATAGTTTTTATTTTACACTATTTATTGAAGTCGGATAGATGATTATATATTGGCATTACTCATAAAAGAAACTAACATTTTGCTTTTCATTTAGCTGGATTATTAAAAGCGGTGCAATGATAACTCGGGTTACCCCGTTTGTCATCAAGAACCATTTTGAAGCGAGTAAAACAACCCAATAAAGGCTAACCTTTCTAGATCTCTCAGAGAAACTCTGTTAGCTTTCGATTGTAATGGAAGCTATCAAAATCAGTTCTTCGTGATTGCACGCACGCACGCACAAACACACACACAGATCAGAATACGCGAACAAAGCATAAACTTGTTACAGATCTGCGATCATCAATGGAGACATCTCAAGGTGGATCGGAGAGAGAGAAGTCGAACTCATCGTCCTCGACACCTGTCTCAGTCGTTTCAAATTTCTGGAAAGGTACTACAATCTCTGTACTCTTCCCTCACATTTTCTTGGCGATTGGCATTGCGTGTTACACGATTTCATCACTTGAATACTAAACTGCTCTGAACCTGTGATCAATTTGTCGAAGCGTTAATTTCATCTGATCTGATTCTCATGAAAGTTCTGTTGAAATTTTAGATATGTTAATTGATGTGGAAATTGATTGCTAGTTACTCGTTGTGAGGCTGACTGGCGAACTGTTTTGTTGATCGCTCAATTGTTTGTTTTAAGAAAAGATTGAATTGGAAAAGCACATCTTATGCTTATAAAATTTGGATATAAAATAGCGATGCATTTCAATGGCGCAATGGATACGTGCCCACGAAAAAAAAGAAGAAGAATATATTGAAGACATTTGGTGGGGTTGGGGTTTTAGTTTGGTTAGGTTTACATAAGGTCACCACCAAGGGCTGTAGCCCCATTGGTACTTCCTCGCCTTCCTTCCAAAGTAAAAGGTTGAGGGTTCAGGTCCCCAAAGGGGGCATGTGGGTGTGTGCGTGAAAAAGAAAAAAACATAAGGTCAGTATTGATTAGGTGTACATAAGGGTTGTATGCCTTTCTGATAATTATGAATGAATAATGTACATATAAAGTGATGTTTGTCAAACAGGCTGTTTGAAGATGATTAGTTTCTAACTGGAAAATGTTGCATGCAAAATCAATTAGGACGAAGTCACACTGTCATCCACCTTTTGATAGTGAACTGAAAGTTTTTTTTAAATTTTTTATAGGCTAGATAGCTCAATCTTTTACACATGCAAACTGCTCTCATTGGAGTTTACTATTACAAGAGAGAAGACTATTTGTGTTATCTTTTATTTTATTTTATTTTTCTAGACGATTAGAGTAGGAGGACTATTTGTGTAATCTTTTATTTTATTTTTATAGAGGATTTGAATAAGAAGACTATTTGTGTTATTGTATTTATTTATTTAAAAAATTATTTTTATCAAGCGTTGTATAGTGCAAAGAGGGTGCCTTAATTCTTTTGCTTAAGATAATTGAATTATTCACCTCTTTATTTGTGGCTGCTACCTTGATATTTGGACAGTTCTAATATCCATCAACTAGAGTATGTGAGATATCTCTTATGGCATTTTCTAACTTGTCCTGGGCTTGGTAATTAGTTTGAACATGGATGCATCTACAAGCATGGAGGAAGTTTAATGGATGTCCGACTCTTCCATGGATTTAGCTTTGATAGGTTTTCTATTTTCCGTTGTGTCTGCACCTTACGTTGGGGGCAGACTGAAAGTCTAGTTGTATGTGAAATGTGGGTATCTGGCATCCACCTCTTGCCATGTACGCGTCATGTATTGACTTTACACATTGACCTTACATATCATTATGGGAGATGCTTCAAGATGAACTCAAGACCTCTGCCTTGTGGCGTCCTCCATGGGAACTTATCATCTATATCTCATCGTCTTTGAGAACAAGGTCTTCAGTAAGGCACCGGACTACTGAACATGCATTCATTATTGCGAGGACCTCTTCTCCTCAAATAAAGTCTCTCTATCAATATTATATGGTAAGGAACTCCTCTTTAGATTAGTTTTACTTTTTTTGGGGGGGGGGGGGGGGGGGGTGGGGGGGCCGGTGGGGACCTCTTTTCCTTAGATATGCCCCATTTGAAGACAATTAGGAATACCATCAGGAGGACCTGCCCCCGTAGGTTAGTCTTGCATGAAGATTGAAGACTAAAGATACTCTAGTGTATCTTGTGCACTGCCTAAGTTGGGAGCAAGACTAAAGTGCTTCCACAGCTCACTGTCCAGCCGATCGACATGGCCCAATGCGGGGGATGATAGGCTTCTGGGATTCTAGGAAGTACTTGACTTGGCATTGGAATCCGAGGAATGTTGAGGTGATCTATCATCCAGGCTCTGCTGATCAGGAGTGCCACATTGACCTGAATTAAAGAAAAAGAAAAACGGCTTTGACTCCTGTGCGACATACATCACTTTAGAGGTTGCATATTTTGTCATTGTCTTGTCCCATAAAATGATCAGCTCATTGCCATAATGACACCCCACATTATGTCAAGTCATAACCTCTCAATTGCAACCTTCTCAGATGGTGTTGTCCCTTCAAACCAAAAGAAACATGCGTGTCAAACCTGAACATAAAAAAACTGTCACAACAGCCTATAATACCACTGCCATATGTTGAGAATGGGAGAACCACCTGGGGCCTGGGGGTAGAATAAGAAAATAAGGTATGGCAGATTTGAACTATGGGCAGTTACCAGTTTGCCAAATTTCATGGAGTTATTTACCAGTTTTCTTCCTCATAGTTTTGCACCAGTAGAGTGGTTAGCTGGCATATTTAGAGTCTAGGCCCTAGAGTGAAAGACATATGGTTATTGTCAGATTGTTACATATTGTATGTGGAAGGAAGTAAACACTAGAAATTTATCGGAAGTCTTTCTTGTGAAGAATGCTTGACTGGGATTCTCCTCTTGCTGCTCTTACTGATTTTCTGGAGAGCTTGTATGATGATTCGGTGATCACACTGATCTGATTTTCAGCTAGAGTGGTCTACCCCAACTATCTTTCCAGTTTCCTATGCTTTTCCTTAGGATAACATTCTCATTTTTAACCTCAATTTGTGGTTCTAATATCTGCTGACAAAATCTTCATTTCATAGTAAAAAGGAAGGGGTATCTGATATATTGAGTTGCCAATCTCTTAATCAGGCAATTTGAATAGTATTTTAATCAGGTCAAACTAGAATTTCATTTCTTCCCAATCAAGCAATTCAATAAAGATAGTATTGAAAGCTATCCAGTTTTGGTCTTGCCAGTGCTGTCTTCTGAGGACTGGTTTGGATATAGACGTAACTCTAGATATTATTTTGTACTAAGTGGCTACTTTCTAACTCAAACTCATGTTCTTATGCTTGATTTCTCTAGATTTATACACCAAGCAATGGCCTCATCTAAAATTTCAGAATTATGTGGCAATTGAACTGTGATCGCTGATTAGGCCTTTAAGAAATTTGGGTATCGTGCTATCTTCTTGATTAGCCCAGATTTTTTATTTTAATTTTTTTAAAGAAAAGGAAAAAAGAATTATTCGAAGTGCCATTTACCACCATGCTAGGACAGGTCTGGAACATGATTAGTCAATTGATAATGCTGTTAAAGGACCTTTTGCGCATAGATAAAATATGCGCGACTCACTGCCACCCATTCAGTTGAGAATGCATCTGCATTTTGTTACTCTGGAGAGGCATAGTTATGACTTCTTCAGCTGTTCATGAAAGCATAAAATGGCTCATTTTGTTTTGCGTCTTCTTGTTCTTGTTCTTTTGTTCTTCACATATGGACTTTGTATCCAATGATGAATTTTCATTTTGGTTTACAAACTATGTTAATTAACATATTCTTTTATAAGAAAGAATATTGTTCACATGGTTCATTAATAACTCCTTTTATTGTTTATAGATTTTGATTTGGAGAAGGAGAGAAGTGTGTTGGATGAACAAGGGCTCAGGATAGCAGAAAATCAAGAAAACAGCCAGAAAAACCGGAGGAAGCTTGCAGAGAGCACCAGAGGTATTATGATTGCTGACAGTCTGGTGTTCCTTGGAAAAATTGACATGCCAAGTCTCATGTTATAAAATGATAATTCTGTTGGTTGATATAAAAGCATGTGCATGTTAATTATTTATATTCCGCTGTTGACAGATTTCAAGAAAGCTTCGGCAGAAGAAAAGTTAAATTTGTTTGGTCCTTTACTTAAGGGTTACCAAGAAGAGGTTGATAAACTGACCAAGAGAGCGAAATTCGGAGAAAATGCTTTTCTTAACATTTACCAGAAACTTTATGAGGCTCCTGATCCTTATCCAGTTCTTGCTTCAATTGCTGTAAGTACTTGTTTAATTCATTCAAGTTGTTCAATTCCCTACACTACCTCTCTCTCTCTATGCCAAAGCAATGAGTTTCTTTGGTTTTGAAGGGGCTTTATTGGGGATGGTTTCTTTATATCCTGTTTTGCCTTCCCTTGAAGGATGCCTTATGCTTCTGTTTATATCTCGTTCTTCCCTGAACTGGAAACTTTGTTCTCTTACAAAAAAGTGTTATCGAATATTTTCAAAATATGGCGCCAATGGATTAGATAAATATTGTTACAAGATTTTCCAGTCAAATGAAGCCTGATTCTACCTCTCTGTAACATTTTTTACCATTTTATGTTTCTGTGTAGGATAAAGATTTGAAATTGTCTGAATTAGAGTCTGAGAATCGGAAGATGAAGGTTGAACTTGAGGAATTCAGAACAGAGGCAACCCATTTGAAAAATCAACAAGCAACCATAAGAAGACTTGAAGAGCGCACTCGCCAGCTAGAACAACAGGTTAGTGGTGCATTGCGTATTAAAAATAACATTATGTTTCTTGCATTGTGGTGCTATATGCGTCGAGGTTTTTATCGCAGAGTTATGATTTCTTCTAAAATGAAGTGTCAATGTTGAACCTTTTTTGAACACCCACACATGACTGATACTCCTAAACACACATCTGACTCATCTTAACATGGCACTTCCACCCTTATAACCACTGCCAGCCTCCACCATATTTCCAACCTCTCCAATGGTGAAAGGTTCCACCTTCTTCTCCCCATCTCTCTCTCTCGCCCCCCAATTTTCTCCCCTGCAATTCTCCTTCTCTCTTGTTCTTTCATTGTACCCGAACTACAGGGCAAGGACTTCCACCAGTGTTCCCTCTCCTCTCTTTCTACTTCATCAACTACTTTGGGTAGATTGTTTGTGTTGGGTTAAATGAAGAATGAAGACAAAGAAAGGGAAAAAAAAAGAATGTTGAAGAGAGAAAGCTGAGTGTAGTTTTGGAGAGAGAGAAGAGTTGTGAAACCAAACTAAACAGAGGGCCTTCCTGATGTAGGATCAATTTTTTCCTGCGGGGTGTCTTGATGGAGGATGAGTGGAGGCCAAATTTGTGAGTACAATAGGGCGTTCGTAGTTGATTGTGGTGGTTTCTGGCATCAGTTCATGACCTCCTTCCTTACTAACCAGCACCGCGGCCTATCTTTATGGTTATTCACCACCTCCACATCACCTTCCATTCTCATTTTCTTACTTCTCCATTCTAAAGAGCAACTTGTGGTTGATTCAAGAACAATGAATGCAGTTCCAATGAAGACAAATGGCAAAAATGAGTCCAAGCATCAATGCCACTGACAACACTGCCTTGGTGAAAAAACTAGCGAGTCAGATCAAATCAATATATCTAGTCGGTATCCTTTCTTCAGCAAAACCTAGTTTGTTAAAGTTGGCCTGTTAATTAAATTCTTGAGAATCGTGTTCTCTGCTAGGCTTGCATAACTGTTCTCTTACATTGTATTAAGCTATTTTTGATTTTTCAAAACCACAATAATCATATCAGCTATTTTTGTTCTGTGCTAGGCTTGCATAAATAATCACAGTGGTCTCTCTAATAATAACGATCATATAGACTACTTGGTGATCACCCATTCACTTTTATGACCACACTCGCTGTTAATATTTTGTTTGTTAAGAATTTGTCTGGAGCATCTTGAATTTCACATCCCAAACTCTTTCCCTACATCCTATATACCAGTTATAACAATTTTGTAAGATGTTTGGTACAGGATTTTATTCCATTGTTATGAGGTAAGTATTGCACCTTCTTCTTGTTTGCCTTCAGACTTTCCAATCCTCGTTGTTAGTGTTTTTAACATGCTTCAAGTTCCCAGTGTTTTGTTTATTTACCAATCTGTTTTCATCTTTTCAATATTCCTGGAAATTATTTTTCTATGCTTGTAAACCATACCATACCATGTGATGTTGGCAATATGACTTCCGGTCCATCATGCCTCTCTATTAAGAATCATCTTATCGTTTAAACACTAAAGATACCTCAAAAAGTATGTGAGAAACTAAATACCTTTTCCCTTCATTATAATTTTGTATATGTATAAGACAATTCTGTTTAAGAAATATTACTTTTTGGTGCTTTCATTAATTTATCTATCAATTGTATTGTCATAAATTCGTTTGATATTTATGCTTTGATGCATGCAAAATTCTTACATGTAATTTTCATTCCCCCATTATCAACACTTATTACCTGCAGTAGATTTAGGAGTTTTTTAGCATTAGCAAACTACATGCTTTGTATCAGAAGTTCTTTAGCATAGTGAATGAGTTGGTTTGTCATGTTTTATCCTAACTAATGTGTGTAACTTATGATCTGAGTTAGATGGAGGAAAAAGTGAAGGAAGTTGTGGAGATTAAACAAAGGAGTTTGGCAGAAGAGAACCAGAAGACATTAGAAGTCTTAAAAGAAAGGTATCGTCCTTTTCTGGTGGCATGGAAACCTAGACACTTAGATAATTACCATTGCATTGTGACCAAGGGAATGGGGTTGACGTCATTGGTCACCATCTTTTGATACAGTAACCTGGCATCATCAAGTTTTTTTTCCTTAAATAGTTTTAAATAATTTATGATATGTTTTAGTGACTTCATCTTGTTTCTCATATTAGTATGGAACATGTTTATGATATTTTCATTGATGCAGGGAACAATTGTTGCAGGATCAATTACGAACAGCTAAAGAAAGTGTTTCCAACATGCAAAAATTACATGAACTTGCGCAGAGCAAGTTATTTGAATTTCGTGCTCAATCAGGTCATATGATTGTTTGAATTTTAATTTAATATCCATGATATAATTTACTTCATGTCATCTAAACTACTAAGTTAGCCTTTAAGCCTCACCCACTTGCATGGAAAATATTGCAAATTTCTGAAACAGTGTATAAATCACTTTTCTTTTAACAATTTCAGAGGAAGAGAGAGCAGCAAAACAATCGGAGGTCAATCTGTTAATGGATGAAGTTGAACGGGCCCAAACTAGACTTGTTAGTCTCGAGAGAGAGAAGGTGTGTCATCTATTTCTTAATTTAATTGGATTGGACTAGCCTGCTATTTTTTGGCTTAACTTTTGCATTGGGGCTTATTACTTGATGGCTTCTATTAGTTTGTACGCAGCGGAATGGTTGTGGAATATAATATGAATAAATAACCTAGATGGATGGTGAATAGATTTTACTTGCTCCTTTATCCAATTTTTACTTATTTTAATTTTACCAAAATAAAACTAAAATTAAACCACAAACAAAAAATAAAGTGCAAGTAAAGTAAATAAGATTTGAGAGATGACACCAGGATTTTTAGCGAGGAAACCCCAATTAGTAGAATAGACCAATTGTTGCGGGAAAAACCTCGTTGGACTGTGCCGTCCAGAGAAAAACGATCCACTATGTTTGAAGCAAAGTACACCGAACTTTGACTCAGGCTCACACCCTATCGTTGTACCAAAAACCAATCGCTGACAATCCCTGGCTTTGCGACTCCCTCGTCCAACAGCTCCCGACCTCAGGCTTACTCTTCATCTCTGTAGAAGAGTTGCAGGTAGATCAAACAACACTCCACGAATGCTTTGACCTTTTCAAAGTGTGATCGCTTCACCCCTTTTCTTTAAGATCTGAATTTGATGAAGACTTAATAAATTCTGCTTTTCAGAATCTTTGAATCTTCAATTATGCTCCAATTTTGATGAGATAGAGAACAACACTCCTAAATCACTCTTGTGCTTATGTGTGTGCTCTAAAAAATAAAATCAGAAAAATCAGATTGATTTTCTGAATAAAAATCTCTCAAAGATGGCTCTTAATTAGATCTGAATTTTGTATGCAAAAGCCGTACCTCAATGTTGAATGAAAGAGGCATTATATAGAAGTTAGGAAGACCTAAACCTTTAGAAAATATAGAAAATTTCGTGCATAGGACTTGGAAGGAAGTTGGGTTAAAAAAGGAATAAAAAAGAATTAAGGAAACTGAAGTTATAAACTGATCAGGACTTCTTGAACCGGTTCAGGATTCTTTGAACCGGTTCAAGAAGGGCAGCAAGGAATTCGAAGAATCCCTAAGATTCTTGAACTGGTTCAGGAATTCTTGAACCGGTTCAAGATGGCCAGTCTTGAATTTTTCCACAGAACCCTAAAAGTTGAACCTGTTCGAATATTCTTGAACCAGTTCAAGTTGGACATAGTGTATTTCTTCCAAGGAAAACTTCCAAAATCTTCCCAAGTGTTCTCACTAACTTAAAAAACTTTCTAAAGCATTGATCTCATCACCTCGGAGTGTAGTAAACCATGAACACTTGAATTTCTTCAAATTCGCATCCGATCTTCACTCTTGAAATTTTGAATCGAAAAATTACAACTCTATCGGACTTGTTTTGACAACGAAAATAGCCAATTTACAAAATATATATTATTCACAATCTCCCAAAAATATATTTATATCTCACAATCTCCTCCTTTGGCAATTTCGTGACAAAACCTCTAAGACAACAAGTAATCTACCCAAGCAGAAAAAGTAAATTACTTTGAGTGTCCAAAAATAGACATAAAGCGGAACTCTTCTTGAATCATATGAAGCTTCAACACTTGTAGTATCTTCAACCTGTAATCTGCACATCAGTTCAACAAAGCTACTCATGAAGCTTAATTAAGAAAGATAAACAACATATATCAATATGAATATATCAATGTATATATATATCTCCCCCTCAATTCTAAAAACTCTCCTCCTCAAGTGTGCACACTTCTGCTCCTTTTTGTTATAAATTGACAAATAAAGCTCAACAAAGAAAGAAAAGAAATAATGTGGGAGATATAAAAAGAAGAGAGATCAAAACTATCATCCATGCATAAGATATTGCAATAAATATAAAAACATGATGATATATAGTAGCAATGGAACCAAAGACAAGTATCCAAGATAACACATGTTCCATCCACATGATAAATAAGACCAATCATGCTCAAAATTATACATATGATATCTCCATCTAAAAACGAAAATTCCTAAAAGAAACTAAAAGGGAAATTTTTTTGGATTTTTTTTCATTTTTCAAATTTTTTCATTTTTCTGATATTTGCACAAAAATTATGAGATAACAATTTTCATGAATTTCAAGCATACATGAGATCCAAATTTTTTTGAAGAATTTAAGAGAATTTAAAAATATGAAATTTTTAGACACCACAGATTATTCAATCCAATCAATTCTCAAGCATGCAATCACAACATGAAATTCAACTTGCAATTTTTATGAAGATTTAGAAATTTGCCTAGCAAGTTCATATGTGTGTGTGTAATCCAACCTCATCAAATTTTAATCAAATCACATTGACCAACTGTCTAAATCATATTGATCGAAAAACATCAAGATAAAATTATTTTAAGCAAATTTTACTAAGCAAGACGGCTTTCACTCTAAAGAGTAGACAACAATTCCCTATTTCGACTTGTCTCCTCCTTTCTTTTTACTCAATTAGCTCATCTTCAAAGTCTAGTAGGTGCTTTCGAACTAGTCTCAATAGGTAGCCTTTTCCTTAGCAAAGATTTTCAGCATTTTTTTGATTTTTCTTTTCTTTTCATGCTGAAATTTTTCATTTTTATTTTTAAAACACATGCTCTTTTTTTTTTTTTTTTTTTTTTAAACAATAACCTTTATATGCTTGTAGCTTTTATGAGCAATATGACCTAGTCAACTTCACAATGATTCTCAACTAAATTTTCTCAAAGTTGGACTAGTGCACATGAAAAATATGAACTCAAGAGACTCATCTCTAAAAAAAAATAAACAAAGCAAATTGTCTTTCAACATATAGATTACACATTAAGAATCTTTTCATCAAATAATCATGTGTCGTGGGATTTGCATTAAAAAATAATTAATTCAAGAGAAATAATTATCACTCATGCATTGACAAGAAAAATATGATCATCACTTTCTCATGAAAGAAAAACAACCTAAATCCTAAACTACAAGATATGGTCCAATGGAAACAAGATATTCATCAAAGCATAGTCCATGACCATAAAAATCTCTTTAGGACTTAGTTAGGGGGGTTTGCACCAATAGACCTAATATGAGCAAGTACCCTAGCATCAACAGGCACATATTTAACCAAGTCTTCCTTTTCGATCCACACAGTCTTTACATTCAACTTTTGAAAAGACTTTTCAATTCCAACATTTTTCTTGTTTGAGTAATTCTTAACATGAGAATTTTTGTGTTGATTCACAAAATTTTGCTTTCTAGCATGAACCCTATTTTTAGCATAAGAACCATAAGCATGAAATTCAGAAAAAGATTCTCTTCTCGTCCTATAGCAATAATATTGGTTATGTCCATTCCTACCACAATAAGTGCAATGCAAAATAGTAGGCATATAAGACATATTAGCATGTGATGAATTAGCAACCTTAGATTTATTTTTAGGCACATTCAAGTTATTGGGTTACACAAAAACAGGTTTACCCTTACTACTAGATGAAGCCTCATTAAAACCTAAGCAAGTTTTGTCATTCACTTTCTTACCAACATTAATTATCTCATCAAGTTTAATCTGCCCAGAAGTAAATCCAATCAATTTCTCTTGTGACTTTTTCAATTCAATTTCAATTCAATTTCAATTTATAAACAAGAAATTCTTTTGCAGAATTTAATTGACTTACCTCACCTTCTAGGAATCTTACCTTTCCTTGAAGATCTTCAATCTCCTCCTTTTTTTGTTCACTTTCCTTCTTCAGAGCATCTATTTGCTTCTCAAGTTCTTTCAATTCTCTACCTTGCTTATTGAAGCCTTTCTTTGTTTGAACATATATAACATACAACTCATTGAAGGCTTTATCATAATTCTCCTTTGTTGCTTCCATGTAACAATTTTCATCATTAGGTTTTGCTATGTCCTCAAAATCTGAGTCATCTGTGTCAGACAAAGAAAATCTTTTAGAAGCATCATTATTCACAATAGCAACAAAAGCAAGAGGATTATCATTATCATAAGAAGAATCATCATCAGAAAAGGCAGCATCATTATTCTTAGAAACTGAAACTTTCATTACTTTTCCTTTATTTTTATCTTTGGATTCTTTCTTAGCAAGAAAGCTATTTTTAGGACTTGGACAAACTGTTGATGTATGACCTATACCACCACGTTCAACATTTAATCTCATTTTCTTTAGACTCCTTTTCTCTCCTTTTATCTTGTCTCTCACTTCCCCTAGATGAAGACACTCTTTTCCTAAACCTTGACTCTCCCCCTTTCTTAAGTGCGTTCATCTTTTCAGACTTGATCAAATTTCTAAACTTCCTAGTGATGAGGGCAATTTCTTCATCAGACTCACTATCATACCTAACCTCAGACTTTGAAGCTTTTAGGGCTAAGTCTTTAGGTTTTTGGGAATTTTCATAGTACTTCATCTCATAATTCTTAATATGACCTACAACCTCATCAACTTGCATGGTAGCAATGTTTTGAGTTGCTTGCAGTGTTTCAACTTTGATTCTGAACCTTTCAGGCAAAGACCTAAAATTTTTCTTATTAATCTTCTTATTTGTCACTTTCTTTCCCAGGTAGGCCACACACAATATGGTTGAGTCTCATGTAAAACTCAGAAAATGTTTCATTTTCTTCCATCTTAAGATTTTCAAATTGAAACACAAGCATCTCAAAATTTGAAGATTTGACTTCATTTGTACCCTCATGGGTAAGGTGAAGGATGTTCCATGCTTCCTTTGCAATTTTACAATGAGCAATACGAGCTAACTCAGATTAGACAACAGATTTGAATAAAGAAAATAAAGCTTAAGTGTTTCCTTCTTAAGCATTCTTTCTTAGCTTGAGTCCACTCAGACTATTTATTTTCAATGGTTACACCATCCTTTGTGACTGTAGGTTTTTTATAACATTTTTCAATTGCAACCCAAACATATTTACCTTGAGTCATAAGAAAAGCTGTTATGTTAGGTTTCCAAAAAAGCATAGTTATCACCATCAAACAAAGGAGTAAGTTGAATAGA